AACCAAACACAAGAAAATTAAGAAAAAGTCTAACCAACAAAAGTTTTCCCATTTTTTTTTTGTACCAACCAAACAAAGGAAAAGTGTGTAAATTGATTTCCCACCATGTATTATGTGTGAACCAAACACGAATAATCAATTTCTTGGAAAATTTTAGAAAATTCAAAACTAAGTTTTCTCAAATAGAATGATGTTTCCCAATAAAATGGGAAATGAACCAAACACCCCTTAATTAGAAAAGATTTATATTTGTGATATATCTGATGAAGGTTAAAATCATCTACAAGAAAAAAAAGTAGATATGAATAGTTTTAAAAAACACGGTAGAACAAAAAAAATTTACTTAAACTTCAGCAGTGGATAAAGGGGCACAAAAGGTAGCATGAACAGTGTTTAAAGGCAAAAAATCCAATGTAGCCGGAACAGTAGGTCTAAGGATGAAAATATTACTGCAGCAGGAACAATACTTTTAATACTCCGCATTATTCTGCATCGTGAATAGTTCCTATATGGCATGAACAGTGGTTTTAAGTTTTGTCTTTGAAGTTAAAAAAAGGGTAGTAGATACACTGCGAGACTGAAACATCATGTGTGTAAGTCTTGGTGGCGTAACAAAGCAACAAGAAGAGAAAAAGAGAAATTAGCAGGAAATATAAAAGGGTATTGGTAATTCAATTTGGGCCTAGAGGAAATTTTGACAATTTCTACCATTGTCAAAGTTATTTGTTACATTTCTATCTGTATCATTGGGGAGAACGCAATCTGATTTGAATGATTCAATATGTAGAGGATTTTTTTTTCAGTGGCTTGCTAGAATTTCTTCAAGCTTCAAGCTTTTGCATTTATTACATCTCAATTCATTTTTTTATAACATTACATCTTAGTTCATGTTTCATACAAAGAATGCATTTTACATGAATAGTCCTATACCCATCTATGCTAATTTGCTATAAATGATATGAACCAAATGAATACAGATCATGACTTGTAGATTAGACACCAGCTATATGTTTTACTGTGCCGTCCACATTCCTTCATCACTAATCGCTTTACTTAGTGAATTCTTCTTTACGACATTTCGAGTACTAGTAACCATCTTGAACCACTGGCTCTGAGGATCACAAGCTTTATCTTTGTTAAGGCACTTGCAAGCATTTGTTATAATAGTAGTGCCATCAGAGGCAATATCCAAGCAAATACTGCTGCTATTATTTGTTAGCTTGGTAGCGATATGCATCTTAGAGTCCGATACCAAATCCCACTTAGAAGTAGAATCATCACAGATAATCCCGAGCTTTGCGTTCTGACCTTTAGCATCTGCTTTTAGACACGTTAACGTACCCTTTAGTGACAAAATGTGCTGATCTGAATAGGTCCAGGCTTCTGATTCATCACAGGGTCCTAATCGTAATGGTTCAAGCAAAGTTTTCGTAGTCACACACATCCCCGTTAGTGGATGGAATAGTATAATATAAGGTGGAACATCTGAAAGACCGGGACCTGTGTCATAAAAATTTAAAGCGATGTATTAGTCTCTAAACATATTAGTATTCATGTTTGAATTTTACATTCATGCACCCTGAGTTTTGGTATAATTACACAGGTAATCATGGAGTCTGTGCATCTATATGTGTAACTCTGAGATAACTGATAATATTTACACATATAACCCTAAAGAAAAAAAAAAGACTCCAAGGTCATCCGTGTAATTGCAATAAGTGATCTCAGTGTTAACTATGTAGATAGACATATCATAGGGTCACCCGTGTAGTTAGACCATACCTCCAGTTGATGGGATGTAACTAATCCAATTTGAATAGAGAATTTGATCCATACCTCTGAATGGAGATTGGAGAGTTGAAATCCTTTGTAAAAAGGTAGAATTTCGTGGCTTACACCAATCCCAAGCTAAAACCCCATACACTTCATCTAAACCAAGAACCCCCTGTCTAAGATAGTAACTGCCTTGCAATGTCCAAAGTGCCCAATCCAAATCAAGATCAGCTGCAACCCCAAGAATGCACCCTAAGTATCGGTTATCATTAACATTAAGTCCTCTTTGGTCGACGCCAAACTCACTTAAGAACAATGGGTATCCTTGGTCTAATAGGAAACCAGCTCTTCTCATAACACTGGCCTTCACCTGACCACAAACTTGGTTTGGGTTACCATTGGCCCAGGCTTGACCATCAGAGAAGCCATACCAATGAAATTCGAATACTAATTTTTTAGTGAAAGTTAAATCTACTTGCTTATTTGAGAGGTAGCTCAAATCATTGTCAAAGCTCAATCCAGATATTATAACGAGAACATTAGGATTCATGGAGTGAACTGCTTCTGCACCCTGTTGCATGTATCTGTGCTTGTATATATTAGTTATATTTGATGAGGTACCAAATATGAACATAGAAAAATCATGATTTAAATACAATATAGGAAATGATTAATTGTGGATGGACACCCTTACTATCGCCAAATTGAACTTACTATCCCTGTAGTTCTAATGTTGCAGATAGACTGGCCTCCTGAGTGGATTTTTTTTTTACCCGGATTAGGGGGTCTATCTGTAACATTAGATTTTAACTCGGGGGATCAATCCACAACAATATAACTTTTTTGGGGTGTCTATCTGCAACCATAGACCTAGAGAGTGGTAAGTTCAACTAGGTGGTCGATGGAGTCTACCCGCAATTAAGCCCTATAGGAAATAAAAAGTTGAATTTATTTACCTGTACCAACTAGTGACATTTTGCTTGGGCCCTCTCAGCTCATTTCTTAGGCTCATTCCAATAACATTAGTGGATTCGTTGAACATTGTTGCCATTTGATTCAGCCCCTTGATCCATAAATCTGGGTCAAAATACTTATCTCCAAAGAAGCCATTGCCATCGGAGTTGCTACAACACCATCCTGGCTTGCTTATATGATTGTCTAAGATCACCATGATGTTGTTTTCAGCTAGGTTTTCTACAATAGCCTGCATTTTCAGAAAGTAAATATTGTGACATGAAAGAAATAACAGTGACAGTTAATAGGTCGCAAGTAAAGTTACACAATGTGACCTGAACTTTATTAGTAGTAGAGTTCAAAGTTTATGGTAGTTTGTCTCGTTCTCCCCTTTGGGTGTAAAGATCATCATTCTCTTGATTCGATTGTTGTTTCTTTGAAGTAACTCTGTTTTCATGTTTAGTTTATCAGTGATTATTATTTTGCTTGCAACTTCCTGTGTATATATAGTTGGATAGGAGACCTCTTTAGGAATAAATTTATCTACAGCATTCATGTAGTTAAGTAATCGAGGAATTTGTCTAGTTAGCAATATTGCATTATCATCGCCCGCTTCTTTGTCTGCATTTGGTAGAACGATTGCACCTATATTCATTGTTCTTAATTCCTGCCTCACATATGGTGACAACTGAAAATATTTAGAACTTATTTTGTTAAAATTTGTATCTCATAGTGGAAATTTCGGCAAAGTTTCTGGTGCACAATAAGAGAGAAAGATCGATAAGAATTCTTGTTTCTCAAAGGGAACAAGAATCTGAAGCCTAATATCCCATCAAAGTGGTATATTTGCTCTTCCTCTCGTCAGCTCTAGGACTGCGCGTCGAGGGATCCTAAAAACTATTACAATGGCCACAAACTCAAACAATCAATTTTACGTGGTTCGGCAAACTGCCTACGTCCACGGGGTAAGGAGGGGGAGATCTATTATTAGAGGGAGAGATACAACTAGGGTTTACAATCACTCAATCTAAACCCTCACACAATTATCTCTCTCTCACACAAATACTCTCACCAAAGCTACACAAATCCCTATTCTTCTCTTTTTCTTTGCTGCGTTTTCTCCAAGAAACAAAGCCGCCAAAAAAAGGGAATCCATGAAGTTTTTCCAAAACTGAGCCGACACCGACCAAACCAAATATCTCACTTGTTGTGTCCAGTACACCGTGAAACAATTCACGACAACAGACTCAATCCATAACAAGTCGAGAACCCAAATGAGAATGCAAACACTCTCCAAATGTCAATATCAACTCACCAAATCGATCTCATCCCCATCAAATAATCCAACCCGGCTGCATCATAAAGACTGCCTACGTATCCTCTTGTCCAAGGAATCAAGCCGAACGTAGACCTCAAACCAATAGAAGAGTTCGCAACCCTTCTCCAATATCATCAACTCTGCGGCTGATAGCACCTCCAATGGCCTCAAACACCTCCACCTGAGGTGAACCAATGGCCATATCCAAACTACGTCTACCAGCTGCATTCGAATCTATCAACTCATCATCTGCATCCGAATCCAAATGATTCTCACGCTGTGTCACCTCAGCTGAAATCCCAACCAATACAGAATGACCTGAAGTATGTGGGAAAATCCCCACCCAATGTGGAGTAGCATCAGTCTCCACCCGCTGCGATACCTCTAGGGTCTGTCCAAAACTCTCCACCTGCTGAGAGTCAATTATCTTCCACATCGATACCTCAACCAAAGTGACACTACCAGACCTATCTTCTAATGGAGTTTTACCTCCAATCACAGCAGTTGACAACTCTTTAATAGGATAACCCAAATATGTCGAAGCCTCAGTCCAGAACTTCTTCTGCAAACCATTGGTCGACCACAAACACCGATCCTCCTCCAGCAAGGCACGGTCTTCCAAATTTGTCACCCTATCTAGTTGCCCCAAGATTTCCTTTCCAACGAAGTGTCTCGAAATGCCGTGAGCTCGGCTCCAATGCAGAAACAGGTCCATCTTGTGCACCCACCAAAATGGAGTACATTCACCTTTCTGTCTATTACACACTTCTTCAATCTGTTGGAAACTACTAGGACTTTCTTCAAAGGGGATTTGGTTGCAACCCAAACACGCCTAGAACAGTCACCAACAAAGGAAACCAAACTTCTATTACCTCCCAATGATGTCCCCTTGGAAGGCCCCCAAACATCCACGTGAACTCCTCCAGAACGACCCTTAGCACGGTGAATAGAGGTGCCACACTTCACCTCGGTCTTCTTGCTCACATCAACATGTTCACTGGACTTCAAACTGCAGGTCTTTGCACCCTCTTTCAATCTATGCGAGGAATCAATACTGGAATGGTCAAGCCCCAAATGCCGCAGTCTAGTCAAATTAATAGAAGTCGTCAGCTCTCTACCTTCCACTATACCTCTAGTCAAGTAATACAGGTTATTCCTCCTGACGCCCTTCATCACAATACGAGAGTCTCTCGCAATCTCGAGAACCATGTCCTCAACACGAACCTTAGGACCCTCTCCAACCAAAGCTCCAATTGAGATCAAGTTCTTCCTCAAAGAAGGAACATATCTCACATCATTTAACTCCCTAACAGTCCCGTCAAACATTTTTATGCGAATTCTTCCTATCCCAAGGATCTGGCATGCACGGTTATCAGCCATGTACACCACACCACTATCCACCAGCTTCTCAAAACTGGAGAACCATTCCCTTCTAGGGCACACATGATAGGTCGCACCACTATCCAACATCCATTCAGATTCCTCCGAATAGCTATCTGTAGGACTGATAGAAAGCGAATAAATAGAAGAGTCAGAATTATTACCATCTGATACGATGTTTGCTTCTGATGATGGCTGCTTCCCTTTTCCCTTCTGCTTATTCTTCATCCATTCGTCGAGCTTTGGGCAGTTTTTCTTCCAATGACCAGTCTCATTGCACCAAGCACACTGATCTTTTCCAATTGTAGGATGTCCTACTCTAGACTGTGACTTCTAATTCTTTCGGTTTGGACCCTTCCCTCTTGCGACCAACGCCTCCGCTACTGGCTCAACTGAAGCCTCCTTATCCTTCTTTCGAAACTGATAATTCACAAGTACAGCGGTGACCTCACTATACGAAAGTGATGTCTTCCCATTAATCAGAGTAAGAACGAAGGTCTTATATTCCTCGTCGGGCAAGGAACTCAACAACAGCAACGCCTTGTCCTCATCTTCAATCACGACATCCACATTCGCCAAATCCGCAAGAAGCTTTGTGTAGTGGTTCATGTGATCTCTAATGGAGGTTCCCTTCTTCAACTGGAAACGATAAAGTCTCCTCTTCAAATGCAAGCGATTTTCCACACTCTTGGTCAAATACTTGCTTTCGAGAATCTCCCAAATCTTCTTCGCAGAAGTCTCATTCATCACATCATATTTTAGATCTTGAGTCAAACAAGACCTAATCACACCACACGCCGTTCGATTCATCTTTTTCCAAACCTTCTCTTCAATCTCATCTGGCTTGCCATCTAACTCCAAGGTATCCTCCAAATTCTGCGCGTTCAGCGCATCCAAAACCTCGCATCTCCATAATCCAAAGTTGTTTGTGCCATTAAATTTCTCCACATCTATCTTCATAGAGTGGATATTCAAACTCTGAATAGTCTTCACGCCAGAAGAACCACCCTCGACTCCCGAAGCACCTTCTTTCCCCGACATCTTACGCACCAACGAACAAAGAATAGATCCAAAACTGAAAGATAGAGTCTTTACCAAAAGATCCCACCTTTATCACCAACGAAGCCCTAAACGAGCCTCTAAATTGATCTACTCCTCCAACCAAACCCTAGATCTGGAATCTGGGCTCTGATACCACTTGTTGTGCGCAGCGGAAATTTCGGCAGAGTTTCTGGTGCACAATAAGAGAGAAAGATCGATAAGAATTCTTGTTTCTCAAAGGGAACAAGAATCTGAAGCCTAATATCCCATCAAAGTGGGATATTTGCTCTTCCTCTCATCAGCTCTAGGACTGCGCGTCGAGGGATCCTAAAAAACTATTACAATGGCCACAAACTCAAACAATCAATTTTACGTGGTTCGGCAAACTGCCTACGTCCACGGGGCAAGGAGAGGGAGATCTACTATTAGAGGGAGAGATAAACTAGGGTTTACAATCACTTAATCTAAACCCTCACGCAATTATCTCTCTCTCACACAAATACTCTCACCAAAGCTACACAAATCCCTATTCTTCTCTTTTTCTTTGTTGCGTTTTCTCTAAGAAACAAAGCCGCCAAAAAAAGGGAATCCACCTTGCTGTTGCCCTTTTCACCGCCTCCTGCACCGAAAAACCCTAAAATAAATGCATAGATATATATACTCTGCTGACTTTGAGAAGCGGGTGGGCCATCATCATGCGGAAACGTTGCCCAGCTCTCGTGGGCTCGTGGTCCCACTCACAATATGCACATATATTCTATGACACTCTTTTACTATGTGCTGGAATTAATCAAAGCATTCATTGAATTCAGAGCTTACTACTATTGTTTCAAATTACCTAAAAGGGATGAACTATTGCAATATTTACCTTACCATTGTGAATTTGGACAACGCGCCTTGAATAAAAACCAAATGACCTTTCGAGAATATTATTAGAAAATGAATGCTCTGAATTGAACATGTAAGTTGTGTTTTTTCCGGCCTCCTCTTGTGTCATCATCACAATCAATTCATAAACTATTTTAGTAGCATTTTTTTTGGCCCTTCCTAATCATTAAAACATAGCATTGGCTTCTCATCTGTCAGTGATTGCTGAGAAATATATAATCATCTATGGCAAGCATCTCATTAGCTTTTTAAATCATATTAATTGTAAATTGTATCCACTCATCAGTTCATTCTTAACATAATCGAAAATTGAACAGTTCAGAACTTTAACACAATTTTCGTAGTTTCCAAAACTTCTACTATAGTTTTCATTTTATCAAAGGGCTTAGGATATTTTTAATAAAAACGAGGCCAGGACTGATCCTGGCCTAGTTTTGCAAGGATTGCCAAATGGAGCCTGTAAGTTCATCTTTTGTTATGGTTCATACTATTGTGGATGAGAGTATGGGGTTGTCTCACATTAATTTTTATAGATTTTGTTGCAGATTGTTAGTACGTATAATGAGAAACTCACCTTATATGCTTCAATAAGCGGAAGATCAAGTATCCCAGGATTATTCACTTTAATACCTCCAATAGACTCATTGAGTCCAAGACCTTGAAAAGATTGACGAACAGTCATCGACGCCAAAGACTCATCAGTAACAAGAAACAGCGGCCAAGTGAACCTAACACAATTAAACCCCATAGAAGCAATACTTTTCAACATAGTATCCAAAGGTTGCTTTCCAAGCCCCTCAGCCGTTATGGGCTCCAAATGTGACACCCAATTTATGCACGCAAGCTTTACTCGTCGTCCTGACTCGTCGACAATCCATCGGCCATTTGTTGATAGAGGAAGAGCTTTGGTTGGTTGAAGATAAAGAAGGGTGGTCGAGAGGAGTGAGATTTGGAGGAAGAAGATGGAGAGTTTCATGGTTGTGTAATCTTTGCGCAAGAACTCTTGAGGTGGTTATAACTAACTGTTGGAAGGCATAGGTATAAATAATAATGGTATTTTCATATGTAAGCCCCAATCATAGTAATTTTACCCCTAAATCATGGTAATTGTTATTTTACCCCCAAACTCACCTAATTTAGAGAATAAAAGGGATTATTTAAAATGATTAACTTTTAAATAAATGACTAAACTGTATCTAGTTGATTTTTGGTTAATTGGATTGTTAGTCACTGTATTTATTATCTAATTGGATGTTCATATTTATGTTTTAATTGTTTAGTAAGATGATTATGCAATTAAATAATAATTAGCTCGTTAATCACTAGACAGAAAGCGAATTAATTAGTTATTCAATTATTACTATTTAATTACATGTTTTATCATCCAAGCAATTAAAATATAGGTATAAACATTCAATAAAGAGATAAATAAATTAAATGACCAAGCATCTAATTAATTAGATAATCTATGGGGTTCGAACCCATGCGCAGTTAAACTGCAAAAGGTCTTAAGTCTGCCCCCTAGACAACTCGGGCAAACCAGCTATATTTTAATTCAAATTTTAATACAATTAAATACTGATATTGAAATAAATGATAGCTTATAGTTAACCCCTACATCATCTATTCATAGTATTTGAATAATATTAAGATTAATTATTTTTTAATTTTCATTAACCTATCTGAAGGTAGTTTCATCATTTCTAAACAATTAATCATCTTAATACAATATTCAAATTTATTTCTATAAAAATTAAGATGAGAGATAGAATTAAGAGATGACCTTTAAAATGGCACTAACGTGACTTGGAGGATAGTTTATAAATACTATGATATCGAGGGGATAGATGAAGAAAACACAACAACTATTGAGTAAGATGTTATCTGGCGCTTCAAGAAATCTTTTCAGTTTGGTTATGCTTCAAGAATTCTTTATACAAAGGAGAACATAGGCCATTACTCGCCTAACTTCTCAAAGTCGTACACGCTAGATAAAGTAAAATACGTCATAATGGTAGGTTTACCCTTTTCCTGTTTGTTTGCCTAAAAAAAGAGGGAAATTAAAGAATAAGAAGCCTATTTCTAAGAAAAGTTGTTTTGAGTTGTTTGGTTGGCTAAAAAAAGGAAATCAAAGAATGAGAGATGAGTAGTCACATTATTATTGGATGATATGGGTAATTTTTTAAAAAAATTTATTTTGAGGTTGTTTGGTTGACTAAAAAAATAAGAAAATAAATTATAAGAAACATATTTCCTGTAATGGGTTCTTTTCTTGTGTTTGGTTTATTCATAAAAATAAGAAAATAGATGAGATGAGATGAGTTATCATTATATTATTGGATGATGTACCCATACTTAAGGAAATCGATTTCCTAGCTTTTTTGAAGGAAATGAGTGTAAATGAAATGTTAATGAGATGAGATGAGTTGACACCATATTATTGGATGATGTGAGTGATTTTTAAAGATGAGATGTGATAGAGATGAGATGAGTTTGATGATGTGACCCATTTTTTGTGTTTGGTTTATTTTTAGCAGATGATATGAGATGAGTTGTGAGAAGAAAATAATATTTTATTGAATGTTGTGGTGAGTTTTAGGGATAGGAATGAATGAAAATAATTTTTTATTAATTTCTATGTACCCTTTTCATTTTCTTAATTTTTAGGAAACCAACCAAACAGCTCCAAAAGGAAATATAATGAAGAAAATGTGATCCGTACGATTTTCTATGTTCTCAAGTTGTTTGTCCAAAAAAAGAGGGAAATCAAAGAATAGGAAACCTATTTCTTAGAAATTTTATTTTGAGGTTGTTTGGTTGGAAAAAAAAGAAGGAAATTAAAGAATAGGAGATGTGGATGAGATGAGTTGTCGTCATATTATTGGATGATGTGAGTGATTTTTTAAGAAAACTTGTTTTGATGTTGTTTGGTTGGTTAAAAAAATAAGGAAATGTATTATAAGAAACTTATTTCCTATAATATGTTCTTTTCTTGTGTTTGGTTCATTCTTAAAAATAAGAAAATAGATGAGATGAGATGAGTTGTCATTATATTATTGGATGATGTGACTCACAATTAAGAAAATTAATTTCCTTGTTTTTTTGGAGGAAATGGGTGGAGAAGAAAGTTTAAGGAGATGAGATGAGTTGTCACCATATTATTGGATGATGTGATTGATATTTAAATATGAGATGGGATGAGATGAGATGAGTTGGATGATGTGATGATAAAAATAATATTTTATTAGATGTTGGATGATAAAAGTAATACTTTATTGGATGAGTTGGATGATAAAATAATATGTTATTAGATGAGTTGGATGATAAAATAATATTTTATTGAATGTTGGGGTAAGTTTTAGGGATGGAAATGGTTGAAAATAGGAAATGAGAGATTTCCATGCTCCCATTTCCTATTCTTGGTTTTTAGGAAACCAACCAAACAGCCCCTTTCAGGAAATCAAGACCGCAATAAAATGATCTTTGTGATCATTCTGGTTCTAGAAAAAATTTCCCCCATATTTATCTTAATAAATCTCCTTGTATTTGGCCTTAAATATGAGCGCGCTCATAGTTTAATCATATACCATTGCTTAAATAAAAATGAAAAATGAAAGAAGAAAGAAAAAAAAAATCAAACTACCAGTCATTACTTAGCAAAATGTTGGTGGCTATGTAATTATGTTTTTGAAATTTTTAATAAACTATCTTGTCTACAAATAACACATGAAATTTTTTAATAAACTATGTTTATTTGTTCCCTTCTCTTAGGGGGGTTATTCATTGGGGTAATTTTTTGGATAATGAGATAAATTTTGGAACAACAATGTTTGGTGTTATTCATTGGGGTAATTGGAACTGGGGTAATCTGTGTGGTGTTATTGGTTTGTTGGGGTATTTATGGGACAAATACCCCCCTTTCCCCTAAATTATCCCAGCTATAAAACCCATGCTCAGCCCCACCCTCAAAATTTACCCCACTTCGTTTGCTGGAACAAAATTACCCCACTTCGGTGTGCTTGAGACCAACCTGGGGCACGAATTCGAAGGTTTTGACGGCGTGATCGATCATGCTGGCGTCAGAGTAGAGGGTGAGGATGCGGATGAGGAAGCCCTCGGATCGGGGGAGGGTCGGGTCGGATTTCTGGGCCTCGAGGATCCGCTCGATGAGGTCGCGGCGGTTGGAGGCCGGCGAGCTTTTGGATGGAGAGCTTGTAGATGGAGCGCGTCGCCTGTGGAATTTGGGGCGGAGTCGAGGGATTGAAAGAGCGGCAATGCTTCGAGTTCGATTCGGAGGGGATTAGGTTTTGGTGGCGGGCGATGGGAATCCGATGGAGGAGGAGGAGGATGAGGAGAAGGAGCGGCCTTTTCGACAAATCTGCGATAGAGGACAGCTGGGGTTTTGGGGATTTTTCTCAGGGCGGCGGCCGCCATTAGAGCAGAGAGAGTGGTTGGAGCATTTTTATGGGCGAGGCGAGGGTGTTTCAGGGTAGGAGAGGGGAGCTTGTGTGATTTTAGGCGAGTGCGCCGCATTAGAGCACAGAGAGTGCTTTTTTTATTTGACTAATTGGTGATTTTTGTGTTGATTTTTGTGTGGATTAATTGGTGAGTTGGTGAACAAGGAGGGAGCTTGTGTTTTCTTGATGATGATGATACACTCTTGAGGATATAATTATTATTATTATATTATTAATATTGAGCTAATTGATGTAGTATCCCAATTACCCCATTATCCCAGTTTACCCCATTATCCCAATTTACCCTATTTTATCCCACTCAAATTATCCCATTGGGTAAAATTATCCCATTGGAACAATTTAACCCAATTTGTCCCAAAATACACCAATGAATAACCCTCCCTTAGGGTGTTTCTTTTATATTGTAATTAGGTCAGACTACAATGAAAATAATACAATCGGAACTAAGAAACATTTATATTTCCAAGGGTTCTTTTCTATGTGTCTAAGGAGTGTCGATCTTGTACTCTATTGATGGTCCAACTAAGATGATGGATCATTCTCTGCTGATCTCTGATTTGGTCACTTAGAAGTTGACTCGGCCATCTCTTGGAACTGAATATCAAAGAGGGAAGGAAAAAGATGAGATGCTAACTCCGCGTGTGTATGGGGTGTTCAATCTCTAAGTGGGTGATCCCCTCAAACAAATAATCTTCTTCTCCTCACTGAGAGAGAGAGAGAGAGAGAGAGAGAGAGAGAGAGAGAGAGAGAGAGAGAGAGAGAGAGAGAGAGAAGAGAGAGAGAGAGAGAGAGAGAGAGAGAGAGAGAGAGAGAGAAGAGATGATGGTTTTTAATTGTGGATTATGTGGCTATTGATGGCTTTTAGTTGTGGATTACGTGGCCATTAATTCAAGAGATAATAGGAGGACAGTTACTCCTTGAAAATAGCTCTCAAATGTTCGATTGGCAAAGTTCGTTGATTAGTTGGTAAAGTTCGCTAAAAGTGTTCGGGCGAGGCTTAGTTAGACGTAGGTGGGCTATCACTTCTGAATCATGGGTGACGTGGCCCACGTGGGTAGCTACGGGCAAAGTTCGTTGACATCAAACAGCGAACTTCGCATAACTCGACTCGTGACCTATTTTTGACTTGCTTGGATTAAACCAAAGTGGGCTGTATGACAACGTTTCTATGCTTGTTTGAGCAAGCTTCTCTATAGTCTGTTGTGGGCTTGACTTTAGGCTTATTTGAAGTGTTAAGCCCATAGGCGTTTACTTCTTAGATCCAAACTAAACACTGGCCTAGATGAAATATATTTTAACCATCTACAAGACCCCCCCCCCCCTATTTT